GTCCATGGGCAAGTTATGTTTTTGTTTCGTCTAGATTTTGTACAAGGGAAAACATCCGTTGTTTTTTGCGCTGCAATATTGACATTTCCTCTACATGAAACAAATTACTAGAAGTCTGCAGAAGAAAAAGTCCAACCACACAATTACAAGTGTAAACAAAGTTAAAACAAAGTTACAAGTGTACAAAAGTAAAAACTTACGAAGTAGCACCAGATATTTCCCACCTTTATTTTTGCAAAAAATAGTCCACGAAGAAAAGTTGATTCTCTTCGCACGTGCGTGAACGACCAGTTACGTACGTCCAGATATGCAGCGATAAGATTTGTTACACACGATTGAACGTAGCCATTACAATGCATTTTGTGGAAGAGAGTTTCAATAAACGACAATAAATAGCACGATTGTGATTCCACCCATAAGGACCGTATAACAATCGCCCAGAACGAACAAAGATATAGATAATCTATAAAATATAAGTAAAAATTGCAGGATAAAGAAACCATACTGTGGAAGCGATGTCATACCCTATGCTTAACCCACGTAATGGATTGGAACGAAAGGCGGCCAATTTGTGATCAGTGGTGCAGTAACACATTACGCTTCCCACCATAGGCATCACCAAATACCAAAGACATCGTATTCCTTCTCTTGGTCGTCTTTGATCAGCGTCGCACTTCGCTATAATTTAGTTCTGTTTATTCTGTTGGTGAGACATTCAGGCTTTCCGTAATAATAACTTCTTGTTTCGTCTTATTTACAGCACTTCAAATCAGTGGTAATTCTGATATGATCGTCCGTTCTTGATATGCCTACGCTATGATTAGAGCCGCAACTTTTTGTTAGGCCTGACGCATACACGGTAATTGGCTGGGCACAATGTTAAAAGTCGTAAATAGTTAGAAAAAAATTTTAATGTATCCATAAATAGCTTATGAATAGGAGTAACTTGTCTCTTGCAAAGTCTTTAAAAAAATAATTGTTGTAAAAATTGCACATTAAATATCATCATTTGTTAGCGAGGGTAATGCATTAGAAAAAAATCATCGACAATAGCATAGAATACAGTGAGTTACTTAGGGACCTTACTGAGGTTCACATCAAAGGATTGAAGCCCAGCTTCGGCCAATTCATCTATGATCATAATAGTGATAAGGTAAAGTTCGCACGAAATCATTTGTCCCAGGCTAAGGTGCATAGACTAGTATTATAAATTCATACGCATTAATGGTAGAAGTCGATCGAATCGCTCCAAATATCTGCTGTGTCACAGCTCTCCTTATGAATTCAGCTACCTTGAGCATCATTTTTCTTACAGTCTATAGTTTCTATAGAATTGGCTCTAGTAGCCCAGGCGGGGTCTGTAAACCTTGAAGATTTTATGCATTGCATGAAATGTACCGAATACCTATGGTACCAGTAATCTTAATTAGCTGATACGTCTGACATCGATAGGAGATGCCAATTCGCAGAAGGTGTCGGTTAATGGTTTTGACTACACTTACTGCAGGCCTGTGACCGGTGAAATATAGGGGAATAAAGACTCTCAGCTGTCTCACCAGATCCTCAAGAAGTAGCCGAGGGCAACCTATGACGGTGGCAATAACACTTTCTTTCGTCTAACATAAGATTTCTCATTAACATGATCATTCTTCTTTATTTCGCTTGTTGGTGGCTGCGTGGCGGACAAGCAGGGAGGGGAACTGAATTTGGAGCCTTGATTTTTTTGTCTTTAATGGCAAAAATTCTTGCCTTCATACTTTATCCATGGATGCTCTCAAATCTCGAACCTCTTCTTTCACCTCTAACCTTCTCTGATCCTCCTTTCCTACATTTGCCTCTCACTTTTCCGGCTTCTACCTATTTCTTCCCCTTTTCAGCGCAAAGAAGCGCCCAGCGGCCGATGTGATGCTCCGTAAACCGCCAAGCGCCTCCGCGGCCAAACATGCAACGGAATGTGTTTGCTCGGTGATGGCAAGTTTAACGTACCCACTACTAATTAATGCAATTCTTAAGTGAATCGTGTTGTTTAGATTATCCCTCCGTCGACACTAATTTGTCTACGAAGGCAGCCCATGTCGTTCCTAGGAAATAGGTAGTAGCCTCTACACATATATCACTTGCTAACTATCTGTCTCAGTAAGATAGAGCGCTACCTGCGTTAAAATAACATTTGATTTTAAGCGGCAAGCAGGATAGAGCTGGTGGAAAAAAACGCAGCCAAAAATATCGGTCGCCATAGGGTTCTGTAAAGCTAACATTAGTAAACATGGCTACACTGCTACCACGCACACCAAAACTATCGACTAAAAGAACTGAAACGAAGAGAAAAAGCTAAAAACAGGTTGGTTGCTAATAAGAAGGAAGGAACCTGACCAAAAAAAGGGTTGGAAAGATATTCAAGGTTGTGTCCCAGATGGCCGTTGTCATAGGGATGAATTCAGTTGATTTTATCGATTTTAGTTTCTCTAATCTCCTGTTATCGCTTAGTTTTAGAATCTTATCAGATAATGGCGAGCGGACGACACATATCGCCGGCAATTGCCGTTAGAATGGAAAGCTGCTGGAACAAGAGTGGCGGTTTGCGTTTCGCTGTTTAACTCTGACTAAAGCGAATGTTATATAGATACATATAAGACTTTTAGCAAAAATCATCAGCTGAACTGACGATTCAGTCAACTACTTCACTTGTTTACATCTAAGCTCAGCGCAAGTGTTTTTAGTACATTCTGAATTCTGTCAAAAAATCTATTTTTAACCTGTTCCTTAAATAAGCAGTATGTGCAAAATACATATGTAAGTATGCATCCATAGGTAAGCGTGCATTATTAAAATAAAAAAATTGTTGCTCCACTCACTAAGTCATATCAGCGAAAAGGTCGTTGTACCTTTAGAGAGTCACATTTCAAGCTGAAGAAGGTAGATGTTTTTGAGAACCTGACTGTGTATACAAAGCGTTTGTCAGCAAAGATAATATTTGTCCTAACGAGGATATAGACATATATACATGATGTTCCGTTACACCGAATGGGCAAAAGCATCACTAAAATCATCGTTGTTCAACAACTGCTACCGCTGCGGAAACGACGCGCGCTTTTTTACGGTGATGGCATTTGCCAGATATTAGCAGTACGAACGTTGTCCAATGCGTGCAGGTCTTCCTGGAGACCCTTCACTCGATTCGACCGAACTGGATTGAATAGGCAATTGCAGGTCGTGGCAATACTTCATCCCAGCTCACGGATCTAGACAATTTTTAGAGTAGGCCTAGTCGATGAAATGAGATCTAAGACAAACAGAAAATTCATTGACGACCAATATCTCAATTGGCAATTTACGCAATTAGGAAATGCATACTAGACTGATATTGTTCAAAACTACTTTTTAGTCTAAGAACTTTATCATATATACGTATATTCTTGGTCCTTGTCCTTGGATGGTCCTTGTCCCTTTGGGCACTGAAGGCCAAAGTCGAACTGAGTTCTGTGATACCTTGCATTGGCGATAAATTGTTTTAATTGCATCAAAAGTTTTACTTGCATATTTCAACTTTTGTGAAATTGAAACGTTTACGAATAAGTGGAATATCAACTTAGCTATTTACACATATATTAGAATATGTTACTTACTCATCGATAAATTTGTTTTGACAACTATTTGTCAGGATACCTTGACTAGCCAAGAATCTGAACTAGTTCTTATACAAACTAGAGATGTCATCAAAAAATCAAACATCAGGTCTTGAAAAACGGTGGGAATAGCTATACCAATAGCACATATTACGTATACTTAACGATCTCGTTTGAGCTGACTCTTCTTAAGTTTAATCTTACTAGAAATTAAAATTCACTTAAAAATTAGAATCAAATAGAAATTAAAAATACTTAAAATTCACAGAAAGGATGACAACGTACAGTTTGGCAATATGGCTCCCAAATAAACAACTTCAGCACAGCTTATTAACAGCTTCAGGTTGTTCTATATCTCTGCGGGTGCGTGCTGATTATTATTATTTGAAATTATATGATAGAATCGTTTGCAAAGATAGTTCACGAAATGTCCGGAAGCTTTCATAAAATATCTACATCCTTCTAGTGCAACGGCTAGAAAAATATTATATTTTCTAGTCGTTTGTATGTTACATTCTAAATAACAGACAGCTTCCCCCTCCCCTTTTTTATCAAGCGCCCTTGCAAAAGCAGTATTATTAATCACGTTAAGGGTTAAGATTAAAGTAGGCAATTTTAGGTTTAGTTCGAGCTATCGCGAAGAGGCACTCCACGCCTGAGAGCGTTACAGATGGTCATGTCACGGGCCATTCAGCGTGTTCCATATATATCACATATTATACATAAGGAAGTCAGACAGTCTAGAGTAAATTGACGTTACCAGTGCTTTAATTGATATGAAAAGAGGTTTGTTGTCTCGTTCATGCTGTAAAAGCGAAGTTCGGATAGAACTTTATTTCTTTTTTTGATGCAGCTGTTGTTTTTTGAGGTTATACGTAATGCGATGGTTGTGTCCAATGGGTCTACCCATTCGTAGACTTTATTGTACGGATTATAGGCGCATATATGGTACGTAACATTCAGTCGTTGACACGCCATTCAGTAGCATTAGTTCAAGGATGTTACATGGTGACTGGGACTCGATTATCGAGAAGCTGACAATGTGTGTTGACGTAATTTTAATTGTGCAGTTTTTGGCTAGGGACTAGAGAAGTCAGCTGTAGTAGGCGGGAGATCCTAGTTTACACACAAGCGCCACCTGTTTAACACGCTTCTTACAGCAGTCGAGCTAAACTCTTTCCCTAATCGACTGCTGAACGAGAACTAACTAGTCTAAAACCAGATAGAACTGAGTGGACATGCTTCGTTCATTTCAGGCGATGTTCTTTGACCAATTGTTTAGGCTGTGTAGAAGCCAACTGGACAACGATAGCAAAAGGTCTTCGATACCATGATAGACTAAAATTCAACTTCGAATCAACCTTAGCAATGTACCTTGACGGGAACGGGAACGTGCTTGGTAACTGGCACAGGAACATGTTTGTAAATTGGCACAGGTACGTCTTTGTATACTGGAACATGAACCGGAAGCAGGACGTGATGCGGGACCGGGAAGGGTTTCGGGATGTAGACAACCTGAAATTGAGTTGATTGAGCAGGTGAGTGAGAAACTGAAGTTGGCATAAGGCACTGATGTAAGAAAAACTAAAAAACTAAGTTAATGATATACGTGAAAACGTAGTACAAATTGCTACAAAACTTTCCAGGGCATCTATGATAAGTAAGCACAAAAATTTATCATCAGTTACTTACGATTCGTCTACTGTTTATACAAGCATGAATCGAACGAATAATGCTTTTTAAACGCTAAACCCACAGATCGGATGTGAGCGTATTTGGGTTGCTGCTTATAAACAAAAAGGATATCATTTTCAGTGGTTAGGTATATGTTTATTTGTATTATTTAAAATGTTAAAAAAAACGCGCACATTTAGTGTCATACAATTGAACGAATTGAATTCTTGTACAATTTTTGATATTTGCGTTACACATGAAATTTTAAGGTTAAGAATACACCGTATGAGCTCAACTATCCCATAATCTACGACGACAATCGATTGCGCTGGGGCGTTTAAGTTCGCATATTTTCGCCTGTTTCCTGGCATACTGTAGTCTTTTTTCCCATCATTATTATAGATTTAGCAATAAAATGATATTGTATAATAGATGATACGATGTAGCTTAGTTCCGTTGAAAGGATCTCTTTATTTTTATAGTCGTCACTAAAATTAGCAGTGATCTGGGTGTATGCCCTTGGCGCATTACATTAATACGTCAACAACAATAAATATAAGCGGGTTAAAGATGAACAAATTTGAATGAATGCATCCACAGATCGAACTCCATTTTTTTCACAAGGTTCTCGCTTTTATGCTAGCCATATATTTGTGTAGAATACATGATCACTAGCACCACCATGAACTATTTCGAATAACTTGACCCAGACGCCCCCTACCGGTAAACATGATTTTGAGAATTTCAAATTTTTCCATTTTAGCATTAATATAGAAGGGACACGATATCTGAGGTGTGAAGTACAAACCAAGTAAGATGAAAACTATCAAATGGAAACATAAATTTCAATTCCGAAACTTATTCTACCAAGCGGAAAGTTGGAACGACTTCAACGCTTCTATCTGTACTTATGCTCTGGGAATTGAAAAAACTCAATAAAGCTTTCAGCCCAAGGGACGAAATAGCGATGTAATACTTACACATTTAGACAGTGAAAATAAAAGCACATTCGTCTGTTCATCCGTTACTTGTTAAGGTCTAGTTTCATATATGAAATGTTTTTTGTAACTTAAGTTTTGTAATTTAGAATCCACTTCTCTGTTCTTCTGACGCGCATGAGGTTAGCTTGGGATCTGCTCATATAATTAAGTGATTCAGTTACGTATATTGTAGATCCACTTCTACGATGATACTTCTAGATATAGGTGCTAAGCTATGAAAGTGTGAAAAGCCCTGCCTAGTAAGCTTACATTCGAATCTTAAGGCCACTGAATATTTAACGAATTTATGAAAGCTATGTTTAGAGCAAATCGACGTAAGACTCAATATATTTATTTTAGATTTTGATTTCTGGACTCCACAACTGCTGCGTTTCTAGCTCTTTAGGCTTCTGTGGACCTACTAAATAGGCGCGTTGTTCCAACATTGTCGGCATCTTGAGGGCGTTTCCCATAAATAACGCTATTAACATATCAACATGGGAAAATTATGTCCTAGATTTTCGTTAGAGCATTAAGATGCTCAGCTAAAATGGACCTAACATTTACTCTAGGTTAATTGTCAAAAGGCATATAATAGTTTCGAAAATGACTTATAAAAATAAGTACATATCCGATATGATTGTTAAGGAAACCGCGGTACCACAGCGTGCATTCTTTAGTAAAATTCGATACTTTTTGAATTGACAATATCTTTCGTCAGTTCAAATAATGCTGCCGTTATTTGAAAACCTTAGACATAAAGAGTGTCTTGCTAAGGGCCAAATTCAGGCCATTCCGAAAGGCAAAACAACAGGTGTTTTCAGCTCTGACCTGTATAGCTCTATTACATTATCTATACTACACTTCTACTAAATTAGAGACAATTGTCGACAATTATATAGAATCACTTTAAACGAGCAAGTCCAAATATACTTGGGGTGAAAGTAAGAAGTACTCCGAAGGCGATTTTTGCCCCTACAGCAGTTTTTCTAGTTGCATCGAACACTTATAAAAAGATAAGTTTTTTTATACGGCTATTATTACTCCGGTTCGAAGAAGTGCTCAATCGAATTCGTAAACATTGTAATTCTGCGATGTTCATTACAGTTCACAGGGTGCAAGTGAGAAATCTGCGTTATTCGAATATATCCAGCAAAAAAAACGGTATATATATATATATATATATATATATATTCTAAAATACTGAGTGCAAACGCTCCAAAATGTTTACGTACTATGTCTGATTTTATCATTTCTCGGAAACGCGGTGTTGAGCATTGGTACGTATCAGTCGACGCCAGTATCTTTCACCCTACCTTTGCAACAGGCTTTCAAACACTACTTAAATAAAGTTGGCTGTATAGCAATTTTTTGATAAAATTGTTTTTTGCCCTTCCCAGCGACATTAACTCACGTATAACATATAATTGACTACTGTTTCTGTTACTCTATCCAAGCGCGTCTGCCTACTAATAATCCTACGTAAGGTTATGCAGGCGGCCAATGGGCACATTTGTAAGTGTATTCTATACCAGGAATATGGGGCGCGTTGATAAATATGCGCATGTAAATCGATAGCTCCGTCCCCTGTTTGAGTTTCTATTATGAGATCAATCGTATCGCATGAAGTTTATCCTATATAATATATACTAAATTTCGACAAAATATGTACACCAATGAAGATACAACCAGCTCATTCATCGACATGGCTGAACTACTCGGATGTATCCATTACGTACGAATGAGCGCATCCGAGTAGTTACGGTGTGAAGTGCTCCAATATACACCTTTACAGTCGAACGCTATTTAAAATTTACATAATCGTTTAATGGCATATTTCTAATTGGCCTATAGCCTTCGCTAAGGGTAATTTGACTGTACCTAATACTTGGCGGCACACCCCTGTGAGGTACGGAACGTGCGCTGATTTCATCCCGTATGCCTTACCCCTATATGATTCGATAGAAGATCGATACTCTGTTTCGACCCCATTATACCATTACTCAATTCCCTCTACACCTGTGAAGATGCGACAGAAGGATTTTCATCGTCGTTCATGACGAAAAAAAGACTAACAGCCAGGAGCGATCAGTGGCAACGATGTTTCAAACAAGCGACTCATTCAACTTGCATAAAATCATCCAACGAATGAATGCAAGCAAGCAAGCAAGCAAGCAAGCAGAGGAGCGTCGGCAAGACAACAAAATAAGAATTTCGAACGCGATTACGGTATTGTCGTCGAACATGGCCAGGGTGATATTAGTGGGAACTCATTGGTACTGCATACGTCAAAGATCAATAAAAGACATAGCAGAACTCCTCTATAGAAATTGAAGCCATAACCTATGCGAGGCTTTCTTCACAGGAGGACCAGTCGCTTTTTTGGTAGAACCCGTTCTCAGTATACTATAGATGCTAGAGATATCCTCGTTTTGTCACAGTGGTAATGGACTTGCCTACTAAATTTAATGACACCAGGTGATCTGGGTTTGAGACCTTCTAGTTATGTACGCGCTGCTTGTCTCTAGTGGAGAGGAGCCAGCCGTCTGAAGCGATGATTAGGAGCGGTACTAGACGTAAAAACTCGACGAACGCTAGAGCTTTGTTTTACTTTTAAAGGCCTTATCGGCAGAATCTGCTCCACCAAGTGAATTGCACTTATTGAATGATTGATTACGTGATAGAATCGTAGTAAAGTTAGCGCATTACGTGCGCTTACGACGTCCGTATTCTCCCCATGAGGATTTGAACGCATTTGTTTAACGGTACTGTAACTCAGGACAGTGTTATGGCTCTTACATTGGAGATCGGCTATCTAAGACGCAATAGGGCAAGTAAATATGCCTGGAGGAACGCTATGTCTCGACTTTATGACTCATATTGGCAGCTTTCACAGGTGGGTCTTCGATTGCTCAATCGTTAAACGCTGTGCTCGATGTATAAGTTCGTTAGTGAAAGCGTCTTCACAAGTATTGTCGTCTCCCTCGACTCGGAAGGACATCATAAATCCATACGCCATAACTGACGGCGGGACTTCAACGTCTTATCACATGACTGTCGAATACAGTGGTGAATGTCACAGGAGTGAGGCCAACTATTGTGTTTAATGCCGCTAATTAAAACTCTGTGACTAGAAATATATTAGTTTCAATCTATAAACATGGGTGTTGGAACTCTGAACCTTGACCGTCTGTATAGTGGTGTTTTGCTGTCTACGCAACTAAACGGTTTATATATTAAACGTTGGGTTTTGGATTGCTAAAGCTTCAGTAATGGTATTTCTATCTTACGGTACTCTAGCCAATGATGCTTTTGCACAATTTAAACCTTGGCTATACACGTCGTGCTGCATAATACCCTTCGATTCGTAAACGCGCTTGTTTATCGTCGAAGCCTGCTCTAGATTACTACACACTTCACCTGAACTTCATCGATGCCATTATTATTATACTTATTTATTTCGAGATAGATTTTATTTCGAGGGCTTAGGACAAAGATTTACGATACCTTGGGCATATGTACTATTTTCGGTATTTTTTTGACGACGGGCATTTTGTACGGTACCGCGACTGGGTGAGGCACTCTGATGATATGGGGAACTGGCACAACCTTGTGTACCGGATAAGGTTTCGGTACGGGAATTGGATGAAATACCGGTACAACTTTGTGAACCACTTTTACCACTTCTGGCTCATAATGGCCTGCGAGCACAGGGTGCTGCGTTAGGTACGTTTTAGCAAGGACCTCCACTAAGAGCTGCAAGAGCGGTGCTATGAAACGACACAGCATGTTTCCCGACAGAGCACTCAATGGCCGTTAATGTGTTTCTACTACACAGCAGCTTCTGCTACACAAAGCACTGACTCGATGGTACTCCAAAGAAGGGCTTCACTACGAAACAGTTTCCTTTTCGACTATGATACTGTCACGTACATGCGAACGTCACTGGCATACACACGAGTTGCTGTCGGTTTTCGAATATTGTTGCCCTTAATTTTCGCGTGCACTCGTCTACTTGGTAATTTCTCTATGTAATGGCCCCTATCATTAACAATAGCTCAAAGCAGATAGACACGCCTGAGTTTGAGGTCGCATGCACCTGTGATCAATCCATTCAATCTGCTATTTGACTTGGTTGTTTTTATCGGTTAAACGTGGTTCGGAGCGGTTTTGCCGTGTGCAGAACTATAACGGTGCGCGTCACTGCCCGTGGTTTTAACCTGCCAACGTAAAGAGCAAGTGAAAGCCGGCGCGAGTTGAACTGCCCCTTTCCGCCAATATGGCTCCGTTCGAACGCCCCTCTATCTTTCTATATCGCCGCACTGTCATGGGATGTGCGCGGATCAGCGTGTCCATATAACTGTCTGTAAATGCAGCTCACAACAGCTCATGTCCAAGGGACGAACCGCGGTCCGGCAACATAAGCAGCAGGCAATAGCTGCTATAACGGCGGCGTGATCTTCAGACCGCAACAGATAAGTACTATTAGACGCAAGCGAGCCGACGGCGCTTCTCTTACGACGTTTCGAGTCAATAAATGCAATAGCCTACGATGGATTCGTTGGTGGGCTGATGCTGACGCGGCTGCTGTCGGTAGACTTACTGAGCTAGGAGGCTGCAGGCTTCAGGTAACAGATGGTAACTAGTCATCGTGTCCTGGTTTAGAATCGAAAACAAGAGAAAGAAAGGAAACACGTCGATGACGCGCGAGGTGACTATTACATGTTACTGTCATGGAAAGAAAAATCTAATCGTAGACATAGCTGAATAATCAACTGATAATGCAGATAGCCTTGATGATAGCTGATGATAAAAAAGTATGGCTGTGTAACCCTTGAATGAATGGGAGAGATAGCGAGATCAATTGAATGTGTAGCAGTTTTGTTTTTTTTTTTTCGATTTCATATTTATTAAGCTATATCTGCAAGAATCAAATGTTATAGCAGTGGTAAACTTGAAGATGTTTAAGGGAACGGGTCGTGTGCCTATCTATCTATGACTTAAGAATCAGATAAGCTCTATTCAAGAACTGAGAAATATAATTCAAAAGCTCCTTTATTAAAAAGTGGGTAATTGACCAAGCGGCATTTTGGGTCTGTAACGAGTAAGACAGGCTGTCCTGCATGTTTTTTTCTAATCTAGCCCAATGTGCTAATGGTTTGCTGTGGAAACCAACATTATTTTACTGACGTAAAACTTTCACAAACTCAACTCGCATGCAGGAATTTTCTGCACGTTCTGTTTACCCGTGGCAGATGTATTTTGGGCCTTAGTTAGAATTGCTTTCGCAATCCGAACTTCCTGCCCGAAAAAGTAGTGTCCTTTCCTCGAACTCCTGGCACTTGAGCGATCTGATTCAAAACAAAGACAAGGTTGAGCATGTACAGCAAAAGCGAGTATCTCAAGTTATTATAACCGAGACACGTAATACGAATAAAAAGCGTACAAGAGGGTCGTTTAAGCGGTAAGCTTTAGGATTGCAACCCGCTAGCATCAGTCGCCAAACGCATGACACATCTCTTTGTATTGCTCATTTTGTACACGCGCTGTTTGTAAGTATTTAGATCCCCTGCTGTAGTAAAATACTTGTAAAAATTACCAATCCGTTAGCGACACGGATTCGCTGTCCGAGAACGTACTCCCTTATCGGATGCAACCCAACATCTAGCGCGGTACAGAACGCCTCGGCACGATCCTCTTTACTGTCAACTACAAAGTGGCGAAAACACGGCCCAGCGAAATAAGATGACGATCACACATATACTATCAAAGAAAATTTCGATCAGCATCGATATTACGGTAACATAACGTGGCCTTCAGAAGAGGGAAGAGCGGGCGCTCCGTTGTGTCGTGCAAAAGTGGCTTACGATTCTATGAACGAAAATCATTGTTTTCCTTTTAATGAAATTGCACCAACATATACCGTAACCCGTCCGTTTAGTAGTAAGGACGCTTCGATGCTCTACATGAACATGGCATCGTCTGTACAGTTAGGCCAAATAAGCCGCTACTGGTGACGTAATGTACGTTTGCATTACGTAAAAGACATATGCAAACATACATATACTAGGATGGGCGATTATAACACCAATTTATCGCGTCGCAGTGTGTTTATGCATTGATAACTATGAGGAGATATCTCGCCGTTTCTCGAATAGATCCTTTTTACGTACATCATATTGGAAATCAACGTATCATATTTGGGTGCGTAGGTTTACAAAAGGCTTTCAGAGCTAACGTTTTATTCTTTAGGTACATGTAGACTGTTATCAGGGAATACAATATCAATGCTAACGGTACGTTCCCCTATATGTGGCCCAACAAGCAAATGAAACGCAATGAGTCATATATTGGCCATTAACTGAATAGCGAAAATTGGTTATCTTTGTTCCAATGTTTTCTCGTTGATTTTCTCTAAATTAGCCCTAGATCTATTCTGTGACAACCATACAAATAGTAATCATAATCGTCATCATCATACAGGTAGATGACTATAAAAAAGAATTCGGTGTTAATTAAACTTCAAAGAAAATAACACAAACTATTTCACTGAAGTTAGTAATTGTCCCCTTGATGCGCGGCGTTTTTTTGACGCTTCATCAATCTATGTTCTGCACAATCTAAGCAGGCACACTATCCTGTCGTTGAGATAATTGCGAGGAGATATCTAGCTGGTTCTTTCTGAATGCATCTTTGTGCATAGATATTATTATCTTCAGATGTTTTCCGAAATCTCTCATTCGTAGTGTCGCAGTAGATCGAAGATTATTTATGACACAACAGGCACAATTGGCTATATTGGCGGAAATCAAGTGTTCCATGATTCATTATCTCGTACAATGCGCGAGCGTAGGAGGAATCATTGAGGCAACATCCATAAAAAAAAAGGTGTTGCCTCGCGACTACTATAGAGGGGTTCTGCATCTGTTTGTTGCGGTCAATATAACGTGGCTAAAACAAAATGTCGACATTTATTTGGAAAATTCGCTTATCGCCGTTGGAAATAGCCATGGTAGGATGTATGTTTGAAATTGCTTGTAGTGTTTTTGGCTGAATAGTTAATGTTAGTATGTAAGATTGCGAATAATTTCATAACTGAGCAAATGACAAATAATAAATGACGGAATCCTATCTGCCTGTAAATGTCTACAGGTTAAAAACACCATTTATGGATGACGGTGCATGGCAGTACTCTCGGCAAAGACACAACATCAAAAACAAGTGAGGTTGTATTTTACCTGCAACCTTTGAGGACAACTGCGATTACTACTCCGATAGGACCGGTAGTACAAAATCGCGCGTAATTTTTAGAAAGCGGCAACGGGACCGTTGCTTACGCGTAGTGGGCCACAGCAAACAATGGGGTAACAAAAAAAAAAAGGAGCGTCTCATAGTGTTTTAGTGGGACACGACAAGAGGGACAAAACTTGTACAATCACGGCAATCTTTCTCTATGATCACTGCTCACACTTGTCTTCATCTATCTGCCGTCGCAACCACAATAATTCCCGGTGCAAGAAGGAACCGACTTTCTTTTAAACTAAAACAAAGCAAAAAAATTAACGACAAACAAAAACAACGTCAAATAAAAGCGAAATATCTGATATTATTTGTTAAATATTACATGCTTCAGTAACTCAAAAATGCCAAGCGCCTCGCGGAAAACGGAAGGTGCGTTTCGCATGGGCTTCTGCATCGTTTACTACTGGCCGCCGCAATGAAACAGACCAATCTATATCCCAATTTACAGCCTTACTTCGAATGATTCCGCTTTAAGTTACAGTTTTTTTTCCTCGCACCGATGCTCCGATTTAGAAGCTATCTCATACAACATAGTATATATTGCGCTTTTTAAATAGATCACTGGTTATTTCTAATTACCTTATTGATCCCATACCATCGGCATCAAGAAGTCGCGTTACGCTGAGCGACGATCACGGGGGAAGACGATCTTGAAGTGATTCCCTTTGAGCTGCTGTTGTTGTCGTCGTCGATGTTATGGCCGCTGATGGACCCTGTACCGACGTACCCGTTCGACTTCAATAACTCTCTGATCTGGTGTACTCCAGAGGTGTGCTAAACAGTTTATTGGTGTAACGTGAAGACTAACTGTTGTTCGCAGTCGCATAAAACGAACGCAGTGTTCTAGCGATCATCGATACGAGCTGGCCAGGCGCTGCTGCACGTAGATTCCCAACGGGTCACTATTACTGCTACGGCTATTGCGTCAGAGTCTAATACTTCAACTGAATCTTCAGAGTTGAAGCAGACTTGCGTTAGACAGGCAGTCGCTCGCACGAATTTAACATTGATTTTCCTCGGCGCGAAGACATTGAAGCTCACACAGTCGGCGCACAGGCAAAGCTCATTTCTCGCTCAGATATCCACAATGAATACCCAGTTTGACTCACATACAGAGTAAAATTCTTGTTGTTACCATTGTCTGCTGGCGAAAACCGCGAAACCGCTTGCCCTGACGGTGCGTGGAATCAGCTGGAACGTGTTGTCATGCCGAGTTTTTCACTCAGTCGGTTTCGAACCCACGCTGCTTCAAACAGCTAATGACCGCCCAACTGATCAAGCAACTAGATCGCGTTCGGTGTCTCTGCTTTCAACCGGCTCGGGTCACTCGATTCCACGACACTGCGAACTTTTTCAGTTCAGTTCCGTGGACAAAGGAAAAAACATAGCAATAGCAGTAACAGAGGCTGAAACGGAGAGTGCAAATAGTTGCAAACAGATATAGGAATAGGCAGTCTGCAGTATCGCACGGCGAGGCGTGAGCTGAAGTCGCCAAAGTGGCTTAGCAGAATCGCAGACGCATCAAACAATCTGCAGGAAAAACATCACTGACCTTGTCAAAGCACTGTGATATATTAAAGACGGCTGCAAATATAGGGTAGACTAATCCTGTCCTGATTATCCAGGGAATGATGGGCGATGGTACTGTGAATAAGGTTTTTCCTTGCATTCATGAAAACTGTAGCTGCGCCAATGATAGCGAACATGTTCTTTTATGGCTGTCCGGATAAGCTCGTATTGCTGCCTGAAGCACCACAATTAACGCTTGCACCAACCCTAAATTTCGAAATATCTATCCAGGCTATCATGTAATGGCCAGAATAGTCATGTATTCAATCCGATCTGTGAAAGGCATTAAGATGTGACTACCTATGGGATGGGTCGTGAGTGGCGTATATGGGCGCTCTGAATTAAACTGAAAACAAATAAACAAGAATCGCTCATTTCGTATATCGTATAAATACATCATATATACATTGATTTTGATCGATTAATTAGTGAAGTTTATACACGGCGTAGAGGGTTATAGTACAAGGTTCAAGTGCTGAGCTTGAGGTTGCCTTCGTATCGACTCTCAGCTATAGCCCCGACGCCATCCCTTATAGCATAATAAATAGTTATTCTTATGTATTCGAATATTTCTTTCAAAAAAATTCTAT